CAACGTTTTTTGATGGTTCTGAGCCACCAAACACACTTAAAGCATGCAGAATCGACTCAGAATAGGAAAAGGAGACGTTTAGGTCAATTTTATGCATTCTGGCGTTCGTAGATACAAGAAAACTGTTAAAATTCTTCAGAAACGTCACTTTTGAAGTGTTTTCTTGTACTTTTAAGCCACTCAGATACCCTACGGGCTCGGAAAGTGCAACGAAACCATCAAATTTTAGCTAGAAACTGTATTTTTGTCGATTTTTATTGAATTTGAACTATATTTCAACGTTTTTTGATGGTTCTGAGCCACCAAACACACTTAAAGCATGCAGAATCGACTCAGAATAGGAAAAGGAGACGTTTAGGTCAATTTTATGCATTCTGGCGTTCGTAGATACAAGAAAACTGTTAAAATTCTTCAGAAACGTCACTTTTGAAGTGTTTTCTTGTACTTTTAAGCCACTCAGATACCCTACGGGCTCGGAAAGTGCAACGAAACCATCAAATTTTAGCTAGAAACTGTATTTTTGTCGATTTTTATTGAATTTGAACTATATTTCAACTTTTTTTGATGGTTCTGAGCCACCAAACACACTTAAAGCATGCAGAATCGACTCAGAGTAGGAAAAGGAGACGTTTAGGTCAATTTTATGCATTCTGGCGTTCGTAGATACAAGAAAACTGTTAAAATTCTTCAGAAACGTCACTTTTGAAGTGTTTTCTTGTACTTTTAAGCCACTCAGATACCCTACGGGCTCGGAAAGTGCAACGAAACCATCAAATTTTAGCTAGAAACTGTATTTTTGTCGATTTTTATTGAATTTGAACTATATTTCAACGTTTTTTGATGGTTCTGAGCCACCAAACACACTTAAAGCATGCAGAATCGACTCAGAATAGGAAAAGGAGACGTTTAGGTCAATTTTATGCATTCTGGCGTTCGTAGATACAAGAAAACTGTTAAAATTCTTCAGAAACGTCACTTTTGAAGTGTTTTCTTGTACTTTTAAGCCACTCAGATACCCTACGGGCTCGGAAGGTGCAACGAAACCATCAAATTTTAGCTAGAAACTGTATTTTTGTCGATTTTTATTGAATTTGAACTATATTTCAACGTTTTTTGATGGTTCTGAGCCACCAAACACACTTAAAGCATGCAGAATCGACTCAGAATAGGAAAAGGAGACGTTTAGGTCAATTTTATGCATTCTGGCGTTCGTAGATACAAGAAAACTGTTAAAATTCTTCAGAAACGTCACTTTTGAAGTGTTTTCTTGTACTTTTAAGCCACTCAGATACCCTACGGGCTCGGAAAGTGCAACGAAACCATCAAATTTTAGCTAGAAACTGTATTTTTGTCGATTTTTATTGAATTTGAACTATATTTCAACGTTTTTTGATGGTTCTGAGCCACCAAACACACTTAAAGCATGCAGAATCGACTCAGGATAGGAAAAGGAGACGTTTAGGTCAATTTTGTGCATTCTGGCGTTCGTAGATACAAGAAAACTGTTAAAATTCTTCAGAAACGTCACTTTTGAAGTGTTTTCTTGTACTTTTAAGCCACTCAGATACCCTACGGGCTCGGAAAGTGCAACGAAACCATCAAATTTTAGCTAGAAACTGTATTTTTGTCGATTTTTATTGAATTTGAACTATATTTCAACGTTTTTTGATGGTTCTGAGCCACCAAACACACTTAAAGCATGCAGAATCGACTCAGAATAGGAAAAGGAGACGTTTAGGTCAATTTTATGCATTCTGGCGTTCGTAGATACAAGAAAACTGTTAAAATTCTTCAGAAACGTCACTTTTGAAGTGTTTTCTTGTACTTTTAAGCCACTCAGATACACTACGGGCTCGGAAAGTGCAACGAAACCATCAAATTTTAGCTAGAAACTGTATTTTTGTCGATTTTTATTGAATTTGAACTATATTTCAACGTTTTTTGATGGTTCTGAGCCACCAAACACACTTAAAGCATGCAGAATCGACTCAGAATAGGAAAAGGAGACGTTTAGGTCAATTTTATGCATTCTGGCGTTCGTAGATACAAGAAAACTGTTAAAATTCTTCAGAAACGTCACTTTTGAAGTGTTTTCTTGTACTTTTAAGCCACTCAGATACCCTACGGGCTCGGAAAGTGCAACGAAACCATCAAATTTTAGCTAGAAACTGTATTTTTGTCGATTTTTATTGAATTTGAACTATATTTCAACGTTTTTTGATGGTTCTGAGCCACCAAACACACTTAAAGCATGCAGAATCGACTCAGAATAGGAAAAGGAGACGTTTAGGTCAATTTTATGCATTCTGGCGTTCGTAGATACAAGAAAACTGTTAAAATTCTTCAGAAACGTCACTTTTGAAGTGTTTTCTTGTACTTTTAAGCCACTCAGATACCCTACGGGCTCGGAAAATGCAACGAAACCATCAAATTTTAGCTAGAAACTGTATTTTTGTCGATTTTTATTGAATTTGAACTATATTTCAACGTTTTTTGATGGTTCTGTGCCACCAAACACACTTAAAGCATGCAGAATCGACTCAGAATAGGAAAAGGAGACGTTTAGGTCAATTTTATGCATTCTGGCGTTCGTAGATACAAGAAAACTGTTAAAATTCTTCAGAAACGTCACTTTTGAAGTGTTTTCTTGTACTTTTAAGCCACTCAGATACCCTACGGGCTCGGAAAGTGCAACGAAACCATCAAATTTTAGCTAGAAACTGTATTTTTGTCGATTTTTATTGAATTTGAACTATATTTCAACGTTTTTTGATGGTTCTGAGCCACCAAACACACTTAAAGCATGCAGAATCGACTCAGAATAGGAAAAGGAGACGTTTAGGTCAATTTTATGCATTCTGGCGTTCGTAGATACAAGAAAACTGTTAAAATTCTTCAGAAACGTCACTTTTGAAGTGTTTTCTTGTACTTTTAAGCCACTCAGATACCCTACGGGCTCGGAAAGTGCAACGAAACCATCAAATTTTAGCTAGAAACTGTATTTTTGTCGATTTTTATTGAATTTGAACTATATTTCAACGTTTTTTGATGGTTCTGAGCCACCAAACACACTTAAAGCATGCAGAATCGACTCAGAATAGGAAAAGGAGACGTTTAGGTCAATTTTATGCATTCTGGCGTTCGTAGATACAAGAAAACTGTTAAAATTCTTCAGAAACGTCACTTTTGAAGTGTTTTCTTGTACTTTTAAGCCACTCAGATACCCAACGGGCTCGGAAAGTGCAACGAAACCATCAAATTTTAGCTAGAAACTGTATTTTTGTCGATTTTTATTGAATTTGAACTATATTTCAACGTTTTTTGATGGTTCTGAGCCACCAAACACACTTAAAGCATGAAGAATCGACTCAGAATAGGAAAAGGAGACGTTTAGGTCAATTTTATGCATTCTGGCGTTCGTAGATACAAGAAAACTGTTAAAATTCTTCAGAAACGTCACTTTTGAAGTGTTTTCTTGTACTTTTAAGCCACTCAGATACCCTACGGGCTCGGAAAGTGCAACGAAACCATCAAATTTTAGCTAGAAACTGTATTTTTGTCGATTTTTATTGAATTTGAACTATATTTCAACGTTTTTTGATGGTTCTGAGCCACCAAACACACTTAAAGCATGCAGAATCGACTCAGAATAGGAAAAGGAGACGTTTAGGTTAATTTTATGCATTCTGGCGTTCGTAGATACAAGAAAACTGTTAAAATTCTTCAGAAACGTCACTTTTGAAGTGTTTTCTTGTACTTTTAAGCCACTCAGATACCCTACGGGCTCGGAAAGTGCAACGAAACCATCAAATTTTAGCTAGAAACTGTATTTTTGTCGATTTTTATTGAATTTGAACTATATTTCAACGTTTTTTGATGGTTCTGAGCCACCAAACACACTTAAAGCATGCAGAATCGACTCAGAATAGGAAAAGGAGACGTTTAGGTCAATTTTATGCATTCTGGCGTTCGTAGATACAAGAAAACTGTTAAAATTCTTCAGAAACGTCACTTTTGAAGTGTTTTCTTGTACTTTTAAGCCACTCAGATACCCTACGGGCTCGGAAAGTGCAACGAAAGCATCAAATTTTAGCTAGAAACTGTATTTTTGTCGATTTTTATTGAATTTGAACTATATTTCAACGTTTTTTGATGGTTCTGAGCCACCAAACACACTTAAAGCATGCAGAATCGACTCAGAATAGGAAAAGGAGACGTTTAGGTCAATTTTATGCATTCTGGCGTTCGTAGATACAAGAAAACTGTTAAAATTCTTCCGAAACGTCACTTTTGAAGTGTTTTCTTGTACTTTTAAGCCACTCAGATACCCGACGGGCTCGGAAAGTGCAACGAAACCATCAAATTTTAGCTAGAAACTGTATTTTTGTCGATTTTTATTGAATTTGAACTATATTTCAACGTTTTTTGATGGTTCTGAGCCACCAAACACACTTAAAGCATGCAGAATCGACTCAGAATAGGAAAAGGAGACGTTAAGGTCAATTTTATGCATTCTGGCGTTCGTAGATACAAGAAAACTGTTAAAATTCTTCAGAAACGTCACTTTTGATGTGTTTTCTTGTACTTTTAAGCCACTCAGATACCCTACGGGCTCGGAAAGTGCAACGAAACCATCAAATTTTAGCTAGAAACTGTATTTTTGTCGATTTTTATTGAATTTGAACTATATTTCAACGTTTTTTGATGGTTCTGAGCCACCAAACACACTTAAAGCATGCAGAATCGACTCAGAATAGGAAAAGGAGACGTTTAGGTCAATTTTATGCATTCTGGCGTTCGTAGATACAAGAAAACTGTTAAAATTCTTCAGAAACGTCACTTTTGAAGTGTTTTCTTATTATTATTATTATTATTATTATTATTATTGTTAAGTATGTTCAACAGAGTTGACCTCCAATTACAGAACATACATCACAGAATTTAATATTTAACAGTAAAATTTATTTCACTATCTTCCTCCTTTAAAACAAAAATTTAATTCAAGATAAATCCGAATATTCAAGACTCCTCAGCTCATTGACAGTGGTATGAAATAAGTCTAGGTGTAGATTCACATAGTTCCCTAGCCTGCACATAGTTTGTAATGGTGAATATTTCAACACATTAGTACGCGGCGTGTGATTATAAAATAATGATCCCTGCCTCGAACTGTAAGATCTTACGTTTACATGGAAATTGATCTGTGCAAGTAAACTGGGACAATCTAAAATTGAATTTAGTAATTTTTGTAGGAATATGACTTTCGCTACTTTACTTCTTTGAGTAAGAGTTTGAACAGCAAACCTTTCTAAAAGTATGATCTGGGAGTATCCTACACTAGGATAGAATCCATCAGTTCTGAAACATAGATATTTTAGGAATCTTCTGAGCACTCTTTCCAAATTGACTATATGACACTTATAATGTGGAAACCATACAACGGATGCATATTCCAACTTGCTCCTGACAAACGCATTAAAAATTTTTAATAAAGTACAATTGCTAGAGAATTCTCTAGCGTTGCGAATTACATATCCATAAACCTTAAGTGAACTATTTACCGTCCTCTGAACATGTTCTGCAAATGATAATTTTTTATCAAATACCACACCCAAATCGGTAACTACTTCCGGTCTACTCAGTAGAAAATCCTTTATTGTGTAATTCCACAATATTTCATCAAACTTAAGTCCGAAAGACATAACAACACATTTGTTTTTATTAACAGGAAGCTTGTTCATGCGACACCATTTTGTGACAAAGTCAAGGTTGTTTTGAAGAGTTTCACAATCCGAAGGATTGCGGATGATAGTAAAAATCTTTATGTCATCCGCGTATAGTAGACATGGTACATTCAGCTCCGCCACGAGATCATTAATAAATAAATTGAATAGCAAAGGTCCTAGAACTGATCCCTGGGGTACCCCTGAAGTCGCTATGAATTCCTCTGAAGAAAAACCATGAACGAAAACATATTGTTTACGATTACACAAGTAAGAAGAAAAAAATTCGACAACTCTTGGAGTACAGCCCATATTACTAAGTTTAGTCAACAGAATACTATGATCTAATTTATCAAATGCCTTTGATAAATCAAGGTAAATAACATCAGTCTGAAAACCGGAGTCTATTGATCTGGAGATATATTGAGTAAGGGCGCACAAATTAGTAGTTGATGACCTACCTGGATAAAAACCATGTTGTATTTCTGTCAATGAGTTTTTAACTTGAAAGAAAATTTGCTTGTAAATAACAAATTCAAACACTTTTGAAAAGTTGTTTATTAAAGCTATTGGACGATAATTTTCAATACAAGTCTTATCGCCAGATTTGAATATCGGAACCACTTTAGCGTCTTTCCACATATCTGGAAAAGAAGCACTTTCCAGACATAAATTAAACAAAACTTTCAAAGGTCTAGCAAGACTGTCAGCACATTCTCTGATGATTAATGCCGGTATTTGGTCTGGACCAGCCGTATATTTAGGTTTGAGTTGATGCATAGCTTCAATAACATCATGTTCTGAAACAGGAATAAGTGACACAAGCTGCGATAGATTAAAATTATCTGTTGGCGAGTTATTCCACCCAATACATGAATGAGGATTGTAAACTGATTTAAACATTTCGGAAAATGCGTGCACTATTTCGCCTGGCCCTGAATAATTTAACTCATTACAGCTCATATTGAGTGGTATATCTGTACCATTTGTCTTAAATTTAATAAACTGCCAAAATTTATTCGGATCACTGGAAATTTGGTTTTCAACCTTCGCTACATATTCTTTATAAAGTCTTGCCAATTTTCCTTTGATATCTTTACGCAGTTTTCTATATTCATTATAATCCTCCTCGTTACGATATGTTTTATATTTTTTCCAGAACTTGCTTTTCATTTTTATTTTGTTTATGAGCTCTAAGGAAAACCATGGGGGATATTTGTGACCGTGTGGTTTATTCTTAGGTATCAGTGAAGTAAACAAATTAAATAGTTTCCCGTAAAACTCACTGCACGCTAAATTGACATCACTGCAGTTGTATAAAGATGACCAATCAATAGAAGAAATGCCGTCATTAAGCAACGCAATGTCAACTTTACGAAAATTCAAGCTATCAAATTTAATCACACCTTTTATAAAACTCGTTCGCCGAATAGGACTTTTAACCGTCACAAGAAGAGACGGATGATGAGCATCTTCAGCAACAAGGTTCTCATCAGATTTTTGAACTTCACATGACATATTAGAAATAACCATATCAAGCAGCCTCCCTAAAGAATTAAAAACCCTATTGTATTGAAAAAGCTCAAGGGTATCCATGAAATGAAGAAGTGGGGCAGTATTGCCAAGTAATTTTTTTGTACTTAAGTAGGAGCTGTATTCAGGTATGTTGAAGTCACCGATCAAAATAATATTAGATTTGAACACAAATTTCAAGGAAAATATGGCATCGACCAAATCATAATACCTGTTCATGTTAGTATTTGGAGAAATATATATGGCAAATATATATAGAGGATTAATAGGATCAGCAATTTTTACACACAATACATCAATATCTTCCAAAGAGTCGAATAAGGTATTTTGCAAATTAATTGACTTCGCTAATAAAACAGTTCTAACACCTAACAACACTCCGCCACCTCTAGACTTGCCAGACATATCAAAATCTCTGTCTTTTCTAAATACCGAAAAATCAGGAGGAAATAGCTCCCTGCTAGTAACATCCTGTCTTAGCCAGGTTTCAGAGATGCAAATGACATCAAAATTGCAAGTAGAAACAGAGTCATATAAGAGATTAGTTTTCGTGTTAAGCCCCCTTGCATTTTGATAAAAAATAATTAAAGAATGGCCAAAAGAAGAATTATTAGAACTTAGACTGTCCTGTGGAACTGATTGCTATGCTATAGCTAATATGTTTTGCTTCAATGTGTCCATGGCCGACTTATACACTGGACACCTCGGATCCCATACCGCATGATTTTTATCCATACTCACATTTTGCGATTTCTCCAGTTTAACACAATTCATACAGCATAGAGTTTCAGATGAACAGTCCTTTAAGTCGTGATCTTCGCTGCATTTAGGACACGCCCGGTTCTTTTTGCAATATTTAGCAGAGTGGTTAAATTCTGAACACCTGAAACAACGTTTGATTTCATGGGCATCGTAAATTTGACAATAGTCATAACCAACTAGAAGAAAATCCGCCTTAATTAAATTTTCATATGTGGTTCTGTCAAGCTCAAGCACTGCTTGGAAGATTTTTCCGTTACTTTTAGTGGGATAAACTTTTATCACCTTGCAAATAGAATTTAAGTTAAAGAGATTGGAATTTGTTTTAACCACGTACTCGATGAGTTCCGTTAAATCATTTACCGAAAAATTTCGCGTTAGACCCACGATTTTGACCCTAGGTAAAATACCTTTGACCTCCGTGATTTCGTAGTTTTCTGATAGTTTTTCTACAGCAATTTTTTTAAAACGTGCTGTCTCATCAGATGATGAACATCCTATCAAAACACCTCCATCTTTAGTCTTACGCACCTTCGAAATTTGTACGTTCACATCAACAGGGTTGATACTCGTAGAAATAACAGATTTAGTTTCCTGTACATTTTGCTCCTTATCTTTAGGCTTGATAATTATGGCTGGATTAGTCTTATTCATCATTATGTCCGAATATGTGGGTTTCTTTTCACTAACCGATAATTTTTCCGAAGAAAGTTTATTTTCAGCAACTTTTAAAAAATCGTTTTTAAGATCCGAAAATACACCATTTAAATTGTCAATTAATTCTGAGTATTTTACCTTGAGAATCCGATTAAATTCGTCCATATCTACGGAGAAGCATTTCCTACTGCAGATGGTGCAACTCCAGGAAAAACCAGGAACAGAAACCAAGGTCGCAAGCGCAACATCAGAGATTCCGACACAATCTATATGAAAATTTTTCCCGCACACACCCGAACAGGCAACAGAAGCCGTGTCCGGCCGAATTGCTCCCAAGCATGAACCACAATTACACAGCATTATTCTTATAAGTTTTGTCACAAAAGATCTATCAAACAAATTAAACTTTGTAAACAAAGTCAGCTGATGGTAACAAACGCCACAGGCGCCGCAGAAGCGGACACCTGCTGAACTACAAAAGTAAACAATCTAAATTGAAAAGGCGATTCACACTACAATAATCCTATAAACCAAGAAACAGGCAGCTAAGTTTACTACCTGGCCTTACTAGCCAATGGGGGTTATAGTTGCAAATCTGAAAAATTTACAGAACACCGCTAAATCACCAGAAAATGAAGAGCGAAAAATGACACGTCACACACACACTTCTCACTCTCCTCCTTTTCCTATCCTCTTGTACTTTTAAGCCACTCAGATACCCTACGGGCTCGGAAAGTGCAACGAAACCATCAAATTTTAGCTAGAAACTGTATTTTTGTCGATTTTTATTGAATTTGAACTATATTTCAACGTTTTTTGATGGTTCTGAGCCACCAAACACACTTAAAGCATGCAGAATCGACTCAGAATAGGAAAAGGAGACGTTTAGGTCAATTTTATGCATTCTGGCGTTCGTAGATACAAGAAAACTGTTAAAATTCTTCAGAAACGTCACTTTTGAAGTGTTTTCTTGTACTTTTAAGCCACTCAGATACCCTACGGGCTCGGAAAGTGCAACGAAACCATCAAATTTTAGCTAGAAACTGTATTTTTGTCGATTTTTATTGAATTTGAACTATATTTCAACGTTTTTTGATGGTTCTGAGCCACCAAACACACTTAAAGCATGCAGAATCGACTCAGAATAGGAAAAGGAGACGTTTAGGTCAATTTTATGCATTCTGGCGTTCGTAGATACAAGAAAACTGTTAAAATTCTTCAGAAACGTCACTTTTGAAGTGTTTTCTTGTACTTTTAAGCCACTCAGATACCCTACGGGCTCGGAAAGTGCAACGAAACCATCAAATTTTAGCTAGAAACTGCATTTTTGTCGATTTTTATTGAATTTGAACTATATTTCAACGTTTTTTGATGGTTCTGAGCCACCAAACACACTTAAAGCATGCAGAATCGACTCAGAATAGGAAAAGGAGACGTTTAGGTCAATTTTATGCATTCTGGCGTTCGTAGATACAAGAAAACTGTTAAAATTCTTCAGAAACGTCACTTTTGAAGTGTTTTCTTGTACTTTTAAGCCACTCAGATACCCTACGGGCTCGGAAAGTGCAACGAAACCATCAAATTTTAGCTAGAAACTGTATTTTTGTCGATTTTTATTGAATTTGAACTATATTTCAACGTTTTTTGATGGTTCTGAGCCACCAAACACACTTAAAGCATGCAGAATCGACACAGAATAGGAAAAGGAGACGTTTAGGTCAATTTTATGCATTCTGGCGTTCGTAGATACAAGAAAACTGTTAAAATTCTTCAGAAACGTCACTTTTGAAGTGTTTTCTTGTACTTTTAAGCCACTCAGATACCCTACGGGCTCGGAAAATGCAACGAAACCATCAAATTTTAGCTAGAAACTGTATTTTTGTCGACTTTTATTGAATTTGAACTATATTTCAACGTTTTTTGATGGTTCTGAGCCACCAAACACACTTAAAGCATGCAGAATCAACTCAGAATAGGAAAAGGAGACGTTTAGGTCAATTTTATGCATTCTGGCGTTCGTAGATACAAGAAAACTGTTAAAATTCTTCAGAAACGTCACTTTTGAAGTGTTTTCTTGTACTTTTAAGCCACTCAGATACCCAACGGGCTCGGAAAGTGCAACGAAACCATCAAATTTTAGCTAGAAACTGTATTTTTGTCGATTTTTATTGAATTTGAACTATATTTCAACGTTTTTTGATGGTTCTGAGCCACCAAACACACTTAAAGCATGCAGAATCGACTCAGAATAGGAAAAGGAGACGTTTAGGTCAATTTTATGCATTCTGGCGTTCGTAGATACAAGAAAACTGTTAAAATTCTTCAGAAACGTCACTTTTGAAGTGTTTTCTTGTACTTTTAAGCCACTCAGATACCCTACGGGCTCGGAAAGTGCAACGAAACCATCAAATTTTAGCTAGAAACTGTATTTTTGTCGATTTTTATTGAATTTGAACTATATTTCAACGTTTTTTGATGGTTCTGAGCCACCAAACACACTTAAAGCATGCAGAATCGACTCAGAATAGGAAAAGGAGACGTTTAGGTCAATTTTATGCATTCTGGCTTTCGTAGATACAAGAAAACTGTTAAAATTCTTCAGAAACGTCACTTTTGAAGTGTTTTCTTGTACTTTTAAGCCACTCAGATACCCTACGGGCTCGGAAAGTGCAACGAAACCATCAAATTTTAGCTAGAAACTGTATTTTTGTCGATTTTTATTGAATTTGAACTATATTTCAACGTTTTTTGATGGTTCTGAGCCACCAAACACACTTAAAGCATGCAGAATCGACTCAGAATAGGAAAAGGAGACGTTTAGGTCAATTTTATGCTTTCTGGCGTTCGTAGATACAAGAAAACTGTTAAAATTCTTCAGAAACGTCACTTTTGAAGTGTTTTCTTGTACTTTTAAGCCACTCAGATACCCTACGGGCTCGGAAAGTGCAACGAAACCATCAAATTTTAGCTAGAAACTGTATTTTTGTCGATTTTTATTGAATTTGAACTATATTTCAACGTTTTTTGATGGTTCTGAGCCACCAAACACACTTAAAGCATGCAGAATCGACTCAGAATAGGAAAAGGAGACGTTTAGGTCAATTTTATGCATTCTGGCGTTCGTAGATACAAGAAAACTGTTAAAATTCTTCAGAAACGTCACTTTTGAAGTGTTTTCTTGTACTTTTAAGCCACTCAGATACCCAATGGGCTCGGAAAGTGCAACGAAACCATCAAATTTTAGCTAGAAACTGTATTTTTGTCGATTTTTATTGAATTTGAACTATATTTCAACGTTTTTTGATGGTTCTGAGCCACCAAACACACTTAAAGCATGCAGAATCGACTCAGAATAGGAAAAGGAGATGTTTAGGTCAATTTTATGCATTCTGGCGTTCGTAGATACAAGAAAACTGTTAAAATTCTTCAGAAACGTCACTTTTGAAGTGTTTTCTTGTACTTTTAAGCCACTCGGATACCCTACGGGCTCGGAAAGTGCAACGAAACCATCAAATTTTAGCTAGAATCTGTATTTTTGTCGATTTTTATTGAATTTGAACTATATTTCAACGTTTTTTGATGGTTCTGAGCCACCAAACACACTTAAAGCATGCAGAATCGACTCAGAATAGGAAAAGGAGACGTTTAGGTCAATTTTATGCATTCTGGCGTTCGTAGATACAAGAAAACTGTTAAAATTCTTCAGAAACGTCACTTTTGAAGTGTTTTCTTGTACTTTTAAGCCACTCAGATACCCTACGAGCACGGAAAGTGCAACGAAACCATCAAATTTTAGCTAGAAA